GAAACCTCATTTAATTTTATGTCTTATAGGGTTTTTACTGAGTACAATATTGTATAACTGTAATAATTCAACTGTAAACCTTAAAATTTATAGCCAATTTTGAAAGAGATGAATCTTAGTTGAGAAAATTGTTATTGACTATGTCAATGCTGTTGTAATGAAATGCTTCTTCTAAGTATGTGGTTATTAAATAATTAAAAAAAAAAGAAGACTGATAATGTTATATCCTTAAGCTGGGTTCGAGGTGATCTCTTTTAATATTAATAACCTTAAAATGTTTGTATGAATGTTATATATGAACTTTACATTCAATTTCAGAATAAGTACAAAAGAATTATTTATTATTGTTATTATTATTATTATTATTATTATTATTAATGGTGCTGGGAACTGAACCTAGGGTCTTGAGCACTTTACCACTGAACTATATCCCTATCCCTAGGAATTGATTTTTAAAGTCATAATGATTTATTTGCTATTTTGCTAAAACAGCCTATAAGAAAAAGACTGCTTTATGTAATATCATGAGATTATATACAAACACAATCATTTTTATTGAAATTCCTCATGAACACCCCAGATCTCAACATCTACAGCGGGAAGCCAGAGACCAGACTGATCTAGGCTATGTGCAAAATATTCTCAGGATGTCTGATGGAGTCCAGTTAGGTAGGAAAGTTCCTGCCTGAGGATGGTTACGGAGATGTTAAAACTGGCTATGCTGGAGGCTGGTGGCCAGATCCTGGAAATACATAATGCTATTGGATGCTGGCACAGAGGAAGTTGTTTGTGTAGGGGAGAACCAGAATGAACCCTGGGCTGAATGAAATCGAAGGTACTGCTGCAAACTCTGAATTTTCGACAGACTGAGATACCCCAAAACACTGATGGAAAGGTGTACATATAGCATGTACATGTATGTATACAGACTCACGGCATCACTTTTAACATTCCTATCAAACAGGCATAACCTGACTAGTTATGAAGAAACATTTGAACAGAGTCGGACATCATGCTAGGAAACAAGCAGCTGGTGAGCTTCAGGGAAGCTACTGAAATCAAGGCAGTGCACATCCAGACTGAAGAGACATGACACCTAGATGCAGCAGAGACCAAACTGGCTCTGTGGACATCAGTGAATCAGCTGTGATGACCAGTTGACTACACAGTCGACATGGTAAAAAACAAAATTTTGTTGTGTGTGTGTGTGTGGTGTATTTACTTGTTAGGAAAGGTGTGTACATCAGACTTGGCAGCACATCATATATAAAAATTGTGGGGTTCAACCATCCACGATTATCAGAATCGAGAAGACAAGGCTACTAAAACAGCCAACACAAGCTGCTAGAAAAATCCTGAACCAGACAACACACTGAAATGTCAGTCACATCAGGAACATGGACTTCCACTCCAGAGGCCCTGTTTTAACAGGGTCTTAATCCTGCTGGTCTCTCATTCGCCCTTTGACTCCTAGAGCCTCTCTCCTGATTCAGGCCCTTAATGCTTCACACAGAGGTCAGACCAAGAGTGTCGAACCTACCATTTAAATGTCCTTTTAAGAAGTATCAATTGGAAGCTATCAACTTAAGAGAGTCAATAACATCTACTATACTGAGTCACCAAGCCTCAATCTTTTTTTTTTAAATTTTTTTAATTTTTATTTTATGTGTATGAGTGTACTGCCTGCATGTATGTGAGTGCACCTGTGTTGTGCAATGCCGTGGAGGTCAGAAGAGGGCTTCGGATTCCCCTGGAACTGAAGTTAAGGATGGTTCATAGCCGCCATGTGGATGCTGGGAATTGAACCTGGGTCCTCTGCAAGAGCAGTCAGTGCTCTTAACCGCTGAGCCAACTCTCCAGCCCCGACCAAGCCTCAGTCTTTAAAGAGAGCAAACGTCCTCTGCTCCTTTACGTACAACTAGTGGGCTTCCTCCTGCCGCACCCCAGTGCTGTGCACATACCTCCCCTCCAGCACACAGCATGACAGACTTTCAGAGTCTGAAGCCCCCCACCTCCACCTCACTACTTCTAAGGACACTTTACCAGCTCCACTCACCCCACTGGCAGTCCTGATGGGTTTTGCCTTGAGCTTGGGGATCAAGACCTTCCGATACTGAGGAGGGACTGCAGCAATGATGTCTACCAGGCGGGGCTGGGCGGAAAGGCCGTACTTGGCAGCTGTCTTGGTTTTCAACCTGAAAGCAAAGCATCTAGCATCACTAAGAGCACATTTCAGGCACACAAATCCAAAGGATGATGTGCACATATTACCTTTAAGTGTCATTCCTCTATCCCTTCACAAGGTGACAAGAGTGGCTTAAAGATCTGTGAATATTGAGTGGGGTGTGGTGGTGCATGCCTTTAATCCCAGCACTTGGGGAGACAGAGGCAAGTGGATCGCTGAGAGATCAAGGTCAGCCTGGTCTACATAGCGAGTTCTAGGCCAGCTGAGGCTATAGGGAGACCCTATCTCAAAAAGACCAAAAAAGCTGGGCGTGGTGGTGCACGCCTTTAATCCCAGCACTCGGGAAGCAGAGGCAGGTGCATCTCTGTGAGTTCAAGGCCAGCCTGGTCTACATAGTGAGTTCCAGGACAGCTGGGGCTACAAGGAGACCCTGTCTCAAAAAAAAAAAAAAGATCTGTGGATGTCAAGGAACCAGAAGAGAATCTGTTAGTAAGCAGCCTGATCTTCTCACCCTCAAACACCAGGGGGAAACCCAGACTGCGGGGCCCAGGAGGATGTACAGTGGAGGTCTAGCTCCAAACAGTCCAGCTTCCATCCTAAAGAGCTACCCCGACGATTCCTCTCCGAGGCCTCAGCACTGATATCTAGGGACTCCATGTGTGAGGCTGTCTAGCGCACTATAAGAAGCTTGGCAACACCCTTGCTTCTGCCTTCTTCCTGATGTGAAACCAAAAATGTCTCTAGACAGTGGCAGGTGTCCCCTGGGAAGAAATCACCCTGGCCAAGAACTTCTTTCTTGGATGAAATATTGTATATGTTCAAAAAGCCTAGAATACAAATCACATTGATCTACTATGACAGTTATGACACAACCACTTCTCTACGTCTCTTCCTGATTATAACCCTATCCCTAACCCCCAGAGGCAGCCTCCACTCTAATAATTACTTTAATTCCTAACCCCCACCCTGCCCCTGCCATTTCTTTCTTGTAGCCAGGCTGGCTTCAAACTCACAATCCTGCTACCTCTGCTCTCACGTGCTAAGATCACGGGTATGTACCACCACGCTCAGCTTATTACTTTCCTTGGCAATGTTACCAGCTTTTCTTTTCTTTGTGCTTACTAGCCAAATCCTAAGAGTCACACGGTCTTCTGATCAACCCATCTAGAAGTATCTGTGGGATGGGCACATCGTTTTCAACAAATGTTATCTGAATACCTAGCGTGCGTAAGATACTACCTATGCTCTTGGTAGTGAGCCACAGTCCTTTCATGTGATGCATTGCAATTAAACCCACACAGGCAGGCACCCATCCCAATGAAAGGATGGTTCCAGAATGCAGAAAGGACTTTAGTGAGTGCTGGGGAGATAGGGAAGACAGGCCCAGAAGAAAGAGTAGCCCTCAGGCAGGCAGTGCAGACACAGGGACAGGCCTGCAAGCAGACAGGCAAGGCCTGCAAGCAGATAGGCTGGCTTGTGTGGAGATGCAGTCATAGGATGCCTGTATTTTAGGAACTATGCACAGGACAACTTGCCAGAAAGCTGGAGACAGAAGTTTAAAAGGAAGTAGATTGTAAAGCCTAACTGAAGAAAGCCTTAACACGATGGGCTGGGGAAGAGGGAGGCTTTAAGGATGATGGCAGTGTTAGCTTTAGATATCAATTACAAGAAACACAAAAATATGTAGATAGAAAAGTTCACTAGAAGTAAGCCTGCATGATTAGGAGTGGAACCAACACACAGAAGGAAAAGTTACTGTAGAAGGCTACAGAATATATTATCTTCATGGTCAAACGGGGTAGTTTGCCACATACTCATTTCTTTAGCAAATGTTTTCAGGGAAGGGACAAAGTAAACACAAAGTAGGACCTTATGCATGCTAGCTATTCAGGAAAGGGGTCAAATACTGCAGCATATTAAGAAACAAGCATGAATGTAGTGATTACATGACCTGAGGTTGAGGGAGAACCCTTTCTTTATGGTTAATCTACATTAGATTGAATCTATATAGAAAGCAAATAAAGTTAAGAAAATAAGATGCAGAGATGAAAGACCGGTCCCATTCAAGGGTATAGAAAGACCAAGCTGAACACAAGTAGATGAGTATGTTCAAGTAGTTCTCTAGTAGGGATGGGCTAAATTAGATTAAAGGCCCCAGAAGGAGAGTGGTCCTTCAGAGAGCTGTTGCTTGCAAGGAGACAGTGGGAGGGTAGAATGTGATATACCAAAGAGCAGGGGCTCTGGAGATAGCCAATGTATTCCAAATCCCAGCTCTGCCAAGTACCATTTATCCCTGGACAAATTACTTAGCCTCTCTCTGTCTTAGACCACCCATCTGTTAAGTGAGGGTGATGCCAGTACCTTCAGGGTTTTTTAATTAATTTTATTATTAGTGTGTGTAGGTGTGCACATTATGGCACAAGTGTGGAGGTCAGAGGTCCACTTTCAGGAATCAGTTCTCTTTCCATTGTGGGATTCAAGATCAAACTCACGTTGTCAGGTTGGTATGGTAAGTGCTTCTACCCTCTGAGCCATCTCACTAGCCCCTCATACAGTTTTTCAAGTATTAGCTGGGCTATTACATACAGTGTACTCATAACAGTGCCTGTATTACTGTACATGCCCAGTTAATGTTGGAAGCTGTTAGCATTGGTAGGCTATGAGGCAACGGTATCATGAGAAATAAGTGAGAAAATAAGACACAAGATAGAAAAGATGTATTGGATAATTTCATAAAACAGACACACTGCCAGGCAAAGTGGTACAAGCCTTTAGTTCCAATACTTAGGAGGCTGAGGCAGAAGGATTGTCTTGCATTTGAGGCCAGCTTGGACTACATGAGAATGAGTCTGTAAGTCTCGGGGGTGGGGGTAGATGGGGGAGGGGGAATGCTGACAGAAACCTGCTACCTAAGAACAAGACTGGCCTCTTTTATTTTTTAATTTTATTTTATGTGTATGAGTGTGCTGCCTGCATGTATGTAGGTGTACCTGTGTCATGCAATGCCTATGGAGGTCAGAAGAAGGTGTCGGATCACATGGAACTGGAGTTGAGGATGGCTGACAGCTGCTACGCAGGTGCTAAGAACAGAACCTGGTATTCTGCAAGAACAGTCAGTACTCTTAATCGCTGAGCCATCTCTCCAGCCCCAGGACTTGCCTCTTTTTAGAGACCTACTTACTTATTTAGATCGGTGTCTTTCCCCTGTTCATGAGCTTCAATCAGCTGCTTAATAACATCTCCTATGGTCAGCATCATCAGCTCAGCAGGGCTGAGGTCTCCTGGAAAGGTAAAAATTCAAACATCAAAAATCAATAGGACCAAGATCTCCCAAAAAGATACGTTTCAACAGCAAAAATCTCATTATTCAGCAAAGATTTTACATTTATTTATTCGTGTATTTGGAGAAGGTATGCATGTCACAGTGTGTATGTGGAGGTCAGAGGACAACATGTGGGAGTTGGTTCTCTTTTTCTACAACATGGGTTCTGGGGATGGAACCTGGGTTGTCAGAACTTTACCTACTGAGCCATCTTTCTGGTTCTCAGTAAGGATTTAAAAATCGTATTTAGTAATTTCTCTTCCAAAATCATTTCAAGGACTGTGGGGTACAGCTCAGAGGGCAGAGTGTTTGGCTTCTAAAATCATTTCAAATATACCAAATGAATTGTTCAAGTTCAGAAGACACCAAATCTCTATTGTTTATAATCTGATCAAGTCTTTCATCTCTTCAATTAAAAAAAAAAAAAAAACCAAAAAAACGGGCCTTATCTATATGTGGGAAAACCACCCTTTAGAAGCACAGGACACTGAGATTATTATGGACAGATAAAGGAAAAATTATGGGAAAGAATAATGTAGAAATAACTCCTGATTAGTAATTCTGAATATCTGCAGAGTTCACAGAGAACATTTAGATGCACTGATTCAATCTTAGAACAGCCTGAACAGATGGATCAGGAACATCTGTCTATACCATAAAGATGTTACCAAAGGCCCTTGGTTCCTTTCTCATTACAGTTGAGGCTGGCTTGAACTTGCTATGTAGTCCAGTCTGGCCTTGAACTTGCGATTTTTCTGCCTCAGCTTCCTGAGTGCTCAGTGTGCAGCACGCACCATCCTGCCTGGCCTATCCAAGAATCTAGATGCATTTCTAAGATATTGTCTGTTCTCCAGCATGACCCTCTCATCCAAAGACACAGCACATAGCACGTTGATCCTATCATCAGTCACAACTCGCAAATCCAAGCATGGGCACCAATCCAAACCAGGACAATCTGAGCTCTTCAAGGCAAAAAAACCCAACAAAACCCACAAAAACAAAAACAATCCCCTCCCCCCAAACCTAAGACAAGCCCATATTTTACCATCTGACCACAGTAGGGGGTGCTGGTTTGGGTGATGCCAGCAAACAGGCCTCCAGCCTGCTGGTCTAGAAAGATAAATAAACTACCAGGAAGTGTAGATGAGAAGACCTGGAAGTCAGGGCACCCTGTCATTTGCTTTAACCCCATTTGAAACCTCACAACACTTGTCAGGTGGGTACCGTTACTCCATTTCACAGATGTAAAAAATGGGGCCAAGGCAAGTTAAGACCTCATTGCAAGTGGCAGAGCAGTCTCAGATCCAGGTCTTCTTACCACGATGGCTTTTCTCAGTGTACCACACTGTCAATGACTTAATGAGGGAAGGCTGACACATCAGAAAAATTTGAGAGAAAAGTCCATTCATGATCAAAGGCTAAATGATCTCCAAACCATGTAACCCAGAACTTCTAAGTTCTACAAAGGTGTCTCACAGGCCATATAAACAGAGGTAGACTCGGGGGGAGGGGGGTGTCAAAGGGGACAGGAAGGCTCTCTTTTTCCTCCCCCTCCACCCTGTCCTCCCTCCCTCTCTCACAAAACCACAGAAACTCTGCTTTCATCTGTTCACATATAAGACGTATATGTGTTCACATATAAGACTTCATTTGGGGGCTGGAGAGATGACTTAGCAGTTAAGACCACTAGCTGCTCTTGCAGAGGACCTGGGTTCGTTCCTAGCACCCACATGGCAGCTAACAATAGTCCATAACTCCAGTTCCAGGGAATGCGACACCCTCTTCTGACCTCCGTGGGCAATGCATGACACGGGTGTACACACACACATATGGAGGCAATAGACTCATACACATAAAAATAATAAGTAAAGTGTTTTTTAAAAAGACTTCATCTGGAGGGTAGGAGGAGGCTAAGATTTGAAGTTTACCTGAAATATACAGAGGAGCAAACTAGTAAGAAAAGGCTTCATGAGGAAATGGCACGGGGTCTTTTTTAAAGACGAGCTGGAGCTGGATCAGGAGCAAGCAGGATGGGATAAAGTCAAGCGTTAAGAACTACCTGTTCTGGCAAAAGGAGATCTGTCTAACGTGAACACAGGCTGCCTGAACAGGGTTCAGTAAACAACACCGTACAGAGTACACTGGCCACTTTGTGAAAACATTAAATAGAACACACCAGACAGTGGAGAACTTACATTCTCAATTCTGGAAGTAAAAAGATGAAAGAAATCTTAAAGAAAGTGAGATTTTCCATATAAAGAACTAGTCAGAAGGTAACAAGGATATTATTAACCTGATTGCTAAACAAAATGCTTTTGAAATGTACATTAAAAACCCACAAGCAAAAGGACCTGAGTTCGAATCCCAACCACCCATGTTAAAAGCCAGGTGTGGCTACATGCATTCCTGTTACCCTAGAATGTGCGCAAGAGGGGGACACGGGAAGGTGGGGGTGGAGAGACACGAGGACACAAGAATAGGAGCGGAGGATCCCTGGGGCTTGTCTAGCTCCAAGTTTAGTGAGAGATCCTATCTCAAGGGTTTGGGACGGAGGGTGATAGAAACAGAACATGAGACGCCTGCTGGTCTCCATGTACGTGCTAGTTAATGCCAAGAAGCAGCAAACAAGGGCACATTTATTTTTCATTCGATGACCTGAGGGTCACAGGCACAGCCTGACCAATCAGCTCCACACTACCTAACCATTAAGTTTCGGCTGAAGTCAAGTTACCTAACCGAATCGCAGCTTGTCTATGCATAAAATGTGATAAAGGCTCAACCCTCCGCAGCTATTATTGCGACAACCAGCAGCATTATCAGACCAACTGCTCAAGCGAAGATAAGAATAAAAATCTATGACAAATACTGAAAAATCCGACTTCCTTCTGTTGAAAAACCTACAGACTTGCTCTAGGCTAATTCAGGAGGTCAAAGAAATGGGAGCAAGTTCATGCACAACGGTTGCACAGACTGCATGGATAATTCCTATTTTAAGACTTTAAAGGAGCATCTCAATAAACACGTCATTAGAAGCACCCGGCCCACCCAACCCCGGACGGCGGGGCCTGGACCACGGGGCAGATGCCCGTGGAAAGGTGGGGTTCACCGTCAGCGCCGGGCGCCCGCCCCCCCACTCCCTTGTTCCCCGCGTCCCTTTTATTTATTTATTTTTTTTCACCTTTCCGTTTCTGCCTCATCTCTGCACCTTCGTAGCTTGAAAGCCTCCACGTTACCGTAGCTCAGACCAGGTAGAAAGTTATCAGCCGTAAAGCAGCCCCGACTGTCGTAAAAGGCGTCGATGGCGACGTAAAGCGTGCAGAAGAACGGGCGCGCAGCCCCGCCGGGTCCAGAAGATAGGGAGGGGCTTTGCATCCTCGTTCAGTGGTTGGTTGGAGGACCTGGCTGCTAGGGGACCGGAAAGTTGGACCCAGGGAGGGTGGGAGTGGGACAGAGCTTCTTTTGTTGTTTTTTGGTCTTTTTGAGACAGGGTCTCCTTGTAGCCCCAGCTGTCCTGGAACTCACTGTGTAGACCAGGCTGGCCTTGAACTCTCTGAGATCCGCCTGCCTCTGCCTCCGTGTGCTGGGATTAAAGGCGTGGGCCACCACGCGCAGCTGGGACAGAGCTTTTTTAAAGAAGCTACGCCCAGAAGTTTGAGTGAGGGTGCAATGCAACCAGAATTTTTAGGACCAAAGCCCGGGCTCTAGAAGCCCCATCCCCATCCCTGCAAGGCTCGGCATGGGTCATTAGTACAGGACAATTAAAGAGATTAATATTAGTGGGGGAAAAGTATTTTTTCAATATGGCCACATTGGGAAGAAGACTATATGTAGATCTGTAATACCCTCCGTAAGTCGGTCTTTGGGGTGCTGACGTGAGCATTAGTTTTTAAAAGTTAAGGAATTGAGGGCAAGGGGCAAGAGGTGGTGTTTATTTAAGCAGACCTGGTCAAGAGGTGATGTGGTTGATCATTGTCTCAGTTCAGGTTCTGCAGATGGTCACAGTCCCTGCTGCCTTTGCTTGAGGGGATCAATATGATTCACACAAGATGATCAAGTCTGCTCTAGGGTTCAGCCCCCTGGATAAAGGTCTTTATCTGGGCAGGGCAGCCCTGTGAGGTTTTATTCTTCCTGGAATCAAGGTGGCAGGTTTAGGACAATCATTTATTTTTGTGCCTTCAGCCAAAGTAAAGGAAACAGACACAAAATGAAAGCAGCTGCCAGGCCTTTATTCTGAGTTTAGTTGCCTTGTGGGCTCAAATGAGGAGTAAATGCTTTTAAGCAAGAGCAGCGTCTAAGTGCCTATTTTAAGAAAGTGGGAATGGGTAGTCTCTGAAGCCTGGCTAAGAACCCAGGTGCATCATAGCAGCTAGAGACTGGACAGGAGCCTGACACCCGGTGAGTGTGAACCCTCCAGAGTAATGAGAGCTAAGTTCTGAGTTTCTGAAAGATGGCTGACAAAAAGCAAGTAACAGTCTGATCTTGCTAGCTTTCAGGCCAGTTGGTCCCCCGAGTCTCATAAATAACACACCTCCATTGATTAACCATGATGGAAACTATGGGTGTCTCAGCAAAGAAACTTACATGCACAAAACTGCAGAATCTGGAGACTGGACTCGGAATGACTTTTCTTTAAAAAATCATTGACGTTAGCCTGGCATGGTGGTGCACATCTCTAATCCCAGTATTTGGGAGGCAGAGGCAGGTGGATCTCTGTGTGATGGAGGCCAGCCTGGCCTACATAGTGAGTTTTGAGGGAGGTGGGGCTACGGGGAGACCTTGTCTCAAACTTAGTGATATTTATTTGTCCTTTAATAGCACCCTATTACCTATAAACATAAATGAGCTTCCTTGAAAATACTTTAGGATAAGGGCCCCAACTCTTGATTTTTCTTCTATTCTTTTTTTCACATTCTTGTGGATTCCTTTGTCTCACCTGAAAATACTGGTTTCCTGTAGGAGTCATTTGGTCTTCTCTCTCCCAAGATGATCTCCAGAGTACCATGGTTTTAAATACTGCATCTCTGCTCCCAGATTTCAATCCAACTTCTCTCCTATTTGGCATCTTGGTATCTGATAATACATCTCATGTACATCTCATGCTTAACACAATTAAAACAGAAACCTATTTGACCTGTAAATCTGCTTTTTCATGTTCTTTATCTGAATTCGCCATCATCCACCTCACCACTCAAAAGTTAGTGAACAATGCAGTTACAATTTAAATAGAGGTAAGGTGGGGCTTATTGGCAATGTGATATTTGAACTAATGCACAAGCAGATAACAAGGGAAAGAGTATTTTGGGCAAAGAGAACAGTTAGTGCAAAGGTCCTAGGAGAATGCATGGGGTATTCAAGTAGGGAGGCCATTGTTAACAGAGCACTGAGTGAGGCAAAGTGTAACAAACACTAGGGACAAGATGAAGTATAGGATGAAGGACAGTGCAGTTCACAGATGTTGAGGACCCATGAAAAGTCCTGGGCATTGTAGTGTACATTATACTGGTAAACTTTCATGTGTAATTTAAGTTCACTGAGAAGCTAGCTCTGGAATCAGAGTTGTCCTCCTTCCATTTCAGTCCCAAGTATGTTTGTCTTAAAGTCCTCCAAGGCCCCTTGACTGGGGATGGGCTGCCCCATTAAGTTTGTAACAGGGAGGAGAGTACCACAAAACAGCCGGTGAGTAAAAACATTATGTCCTTGAGACCAGCTAGAAGGGAAACCATTTCCGACAAATGTTACTATTGTTTATCCCATGATAGAAAAATGCCTCCCGGGCCTGGAGAGATGGCTCAGTGGTTAAGAGCACTAGCTGGACCTGGATTCAAACCCCAGCACCCACATGGCAGCTAACAACCATCTGTAACTCCAGTACCAGGGGCTCAGACACTCCCTTCTGGTCTCTGGGAGCATTGCACAGACACGGTACACTTTAGGTACATGCAGGCAAAATACTCCTACATATAAAATTAAAATAAATGAATTAATTTTTTTTTACAGTGCCTTACAATGGGAGAGAGAAGTTGGAAGTTTAGTCACAGGAGGCTCAGCCATGGAGAGAAGCTGTCGGGAACTCCAGCTGATTGCCTCAGCTTCCCCAGTCTGTTTCTACTGGGTTCTGAGTGCCAAGTTGATGATGTCATCTCCATATGTAATCTGTTCTTGGAGTCTCACCCAGGGAACATGCTGCTCTGCTGGGGAACTCTCGATGGAGCTCCAGCTACCCACCTTAAAGGGGCTTCCTCAGTAGACTTCCATTGGCTCTTCTGAGCCCTGGATTGAGATGTTTTGCTCCCTCCCTCCCTCCCTCCCTCCTTCCCTCTCTTTATTCTTTTACTTTGCCTTACTGTGTGCTTAATAAACTCATTCATTGCTGGATATGATGGCACATGCCTATAATCCTAGCACTTGGGAAGCAAGTGCTCTGTGAGATAGAGGCCAATCTGGTCTACATAGGGAGTTCCAGGCCATCTGGGGTCACAGGGAGACCCTGTCTCAAGAAAGTAAACAAAACAACAAAAAACCCAGCAGCAACAACAAAAACTCAGTCATTCAAAACCAATGTGTGTATATATATATATTACATAAATATGTATGTATCTATTTACAGGATCCTTCTCTAGACCACACAGAACAGGTTGTTTACACTAAGATTGGGAGCTACTGGATTTTTTTAAACTAGGGAAATAATATGATATGCCTTAAATGAATGCCTATTTGCTGGGTTGAGACTAGACTTGATGTGGGGAGTAGATGCCGAGAGAGGGCTTAGGCGGTAATTAGCATACACTCGCCAGTGATTTCCAGACTTTGATGCACATTCGAATCTTTTGGGAAGTGAAAAATCCTGGTGGCTGGGTCCATTCCCATACCTGTCAAATTGTCATATCCAGGAGTAAGAAGCAGGCATCAGTATGCACTAAAAATTCACCATGATTCCAATGTCATGAGGAGTCTTCTGATTCTGAATATATTTTTTGGTGATTTCCATAAGACGTCTGTCCCATGTGGGGTGTGGGAGAGAGACATCAACATCAAGGGTGAGATCAAAGCTTTTGGACTGAGGAAGTGGAATAATGTTGTCACTAGCTGATCTGGAGAAGGTTGTAGGTCTTGGGGAGTTTCAGAGGGGTTGACTTTGGATCTCGTGTATTTGAGATGCCTAGACATAACAGAGATTGTAGTTAGAGATTCCAGTCCAGAGCTTTAGGTGTGTGGATGAAGTTTAAAACTGTGAAACATGGTGAAGGTGAAAAGGAGACAAGAGACAAAAAGAAGAGACAAGCTTAAACTTTGGGGTGTTTAATTATTAACAGATGGGGACAAGAGGAGTCACTAAGAAGAAAACTGGCCAGGTGCGTTTAGGAAGGTGGGAAGAAAGCTAGGTGAGTGCAGGGCCTAGGAAAGAAAGAATGTCAAGAAAGGGAGTTCTTAATGAGTCAAGGGAAATGAAATTGACTTGATCAGGATCACTGGGGACTGGCAAGGTCACAGCTTGACTGGAGTAGGTTTATAATAGGAGAGGATTCAGGTGAGTGTCGATAACTCTTGGAGGAGTTTTGTCACAAAGAAGTACAGAAAAATGAGGTAGGAACTGGCAGGGAAACTGGCGTCAAGGGCAGTGTGGAAAGACAGTAAGTGGCAGTGAGTTTGCATGTCAGTCAGTCCAGCGGAGGGCAAATGTTTGATGAGTGAGAAGAGGAGGAAAAGCTCTACCTAATGTTTTGGTTGGAATGAGGGATGGAATCTGGGGCAGAAGAGAAGAGGTTATCTTTTGACAGGCACCCAGGTGGTCCATCTAATAATGTGTTGCAGGGCAGAGCAATGATGGGGGTATGGTGTGATGGTGCTCTGTGCAAACTGCCCTTCAGTTACTTAACATGTTTTTGTTGAGCTCAATGAGAATTCAGCCTGGTGGAATGACGAAACTTCTAACAGGCCTAGCATTCAGGTGTCCAACGTCATGTGGGAAAGACTGCCATAAAGAACTCAGACAGCTGGGGCTGGAAAGATGGCTCAGCAGCTAAGAGCAGTGGCCGCTCTTCCAGAGGACCAGGGTTCGATTCCCAGCACCCACATGGCAGCTAACAATTGTCGGTAACTCCAGTTCAAGTGGCTCTGACTCTCTCTAGGCATTGCACGACACAAATACACTTGCATAGATGCAGGCAGTACACTTATACGCATAAAATAAAATGATAAATAAAATATTACTTAGAATTCAGGAAGCTTAAAAAAAAAAAACTCCCCAAACTATTTTTAAAGTAGTTTCTTACCACTCCTGAACATAGTTTTTGAAACAAAGAAAGCACCAGTAGAGGGCAAGCTAAGCATGTGTTGTGTGACTGTAAGAGATGCTCTTGCCCAACAATAATGATAATATTCATATTGACCTTGTTTTGAAATTTATGTTGGCAAAAATATAAGAAGATAGGAAAGAAGAAAATCCCAGAGAAACAAAAACGCCCTGAAATTTATATTGGTATTACAATATCTTTTTTATGAAGGGGAGAAATCATCTTGTCAAGGTTCAAAGCAGTTTTTAAGATTCTCTAAATATTTGTATTCAATTCTTTCAAGATTTTTATTTTGTTAATTCCTGAACCCCCACTCTGAACTAAACCCATACTTAGAGTACCTGAGAATTGTTCTGATAATGATCAGATTGGTCTTCAATGATGATACACAGGCCAGAGTGGAAAGTTCAAAGAACAGGGTCTCTCCTGTACTCAGTATGGTTGGTGGGGTCACAAGACAGTATAAGGGAGTCAGTTTTATTTTCTGTCTTTCTCTACTGGGAAGCACTTCTAAAATATTTCTTTTAAAAATAAGCCTCTCGTAAGTTCAAGACCAGCCTGGGCTACATATTGAGACACTATCCTAAAACAAAACAAAACAAAAACAACGAAACATTTTAAAAATTTAAATAAAATAAAAACAAAGATCTAAAGTTCAAGTCCTCAAAAGAATTATATAAATCTGTATGGCTCATTTCTACAATAAAAACCTCAATGTTATTTCATTACTGTTAGATTTTATTTTGAGGGAATGTTGAGTTTGTGCCAAAAGTTGGTTTATATTTACCACCTCCTTCCGTCTGTCTCTCTGTCGCGTCCCATGCTTGAGTGTTTGGGAAATATCCTTTGGCTTTCTTGCCAGTGGACATGTTTCTGATCTATTCAAATGAGCCAGATCCATCTAGACAGCAGTTTCCCTCAGAGAAAGTGTACTGTGGGATGATGCTGAGATCTGTGTGGGAAGGAGATGTGGCCAAGATCTGCCTGATTGTGGATAGACAGCAGAGAGGGTTGCACGATCCCCAGTTTACATGCAGTTGAAGTTTAAATGAAAAGAGAAAATAGAAAGGGCTCTGTATCCGGGGAGGAGATTGAGGTAAACAGGCCCTGTGGTTAGTTCCACTTCCTCTGTGTAAATGTGGCTTTATGACTGTGGCCACTAAGGGCTCTATATAGCGCATTCCTGAGATCTGCAGCATCACTACGGATGTCTGTACTGTCCGTGCTCTCCTTTGTGGACGCCTGGACTGAAGCAGGAAAGCTCGTTCTTGTTTTTGTTTCATTTTGTTTATTCAGTGACATCTGGTAAGTTGTTTTTCTTATGTGACTTTTACTATTATTTGTGATTTATAAAAATATAGGCTTTTTAAAATAGTTTTAGATTTACAGAAACCCCGAGAAAATAGTTTAGGACATTCTCAGATATCTGCACCCAGTCACCCGTACTATATCACATATTTGTTATGAATGAGCCAATGTTGAGGCATTGTTTCTAGGTAAAGCCTGTGCCACATTGAAGGTCCTTAGTTTATATCCAGGGTCAGTGTTCTGTTGTAGGATCCCAGCCAGAACACTACATTGCACTTAGCTGTTTCTCTCTCTCTCTCTCTCTCTC